ATATATATATATATATATTAACTTTAATAATTACAAGGAAAGGAGTGGGGAATTTTACGAAGCATGTGTGAGATAAGAATCTGAAACCTTTTCATGTTCACCCACAAGGCAAAGTGGCTTTCGCCATGCTTGCCCTACAATTGGAGAACTAACTTGACCGAAATTTGAGAAAGTGATTATTCATTGTTTTAATTTGATGTCTCTATAATTATTTAGCTAGTGGAGCAATCTGGGACTAATGAAAGATTTGAGCTTCACAAGGGACCGGTTGGCTGAAGCTGAAAGTTTCTTTTGCACAGTTGGAGTTGTTTATGAACCTCAATACAGCAGTTTATGAAAATGGCTAACAAAAGCCATCACTCTAATATTAATCATAGACGATGTTTATGATAGTTATGGCTCACTTGAAGAAATAGAGCACTTCACTTTCTCAGCAAACTTAAATTGAGTCCTTCTGAAGATACAAGAATAATATTGGTGTCTTCGAGAAAAACTACTAAGATATTCAGTCGTGTTCACTTAAGTTATTTTCACACATAATTTTTAGAAAATGTAAAATGCCAAGACAAGCATGAGAAAATGTAAGTAAAATGAAAGAGCGAAAATGGGAAGGCATAAGCTAAAAACCTTCATTGTCAGGGATACAAAACCATGCACACCAAGAGTCCAAGACAAACATGAGAAATGGTAAGCAGAACGTGAAAGCACAAATCGAAAGGCATGAGCTCTAATACACATTGCTGTCAAGATTAGAAGTGATCACCATTGTCAGTGAGAAAAGAGGGGAAAACCAAAGATGATAAGGAATGTATGATGAAACTAGTAGCCAATAAACATTCATGCTGACTAAACAAAAAGCAATTATAAAATAAACTACCCAAACTCAAACTGGAATGGCAATGCCAATTACTAAAGCTATATAGCACTGCTATTTTGAAGGCAATTTCAGCCTATAATCATGGTATTTATTTGCCTTCCCAAGCTGCGCTAGCTTCTTTGCCTCCTCAATCTTGGAGCATGCAACAAGTTCATCTACCACCTTCCGCAACAATGACTCATCAAAACAGAACTTTTTGCTAAACCTTGTGCCAAAAATCTTTTCACACTGCTCAAAGGCAAAATCTACATCACCCTTCCCAGAAACAAATGGAACTAGCAGTTCAAATGTCACTTTATCTGGTGCACAACCATTTTTCTTCATTTCATCATACCACCGCCTAGCTTCCTCCAGATTACCTTCACTGATAAAACCTTCAAACAAAGCATTGAAACTAAACACGTCAGGCATAAATCCTTTACTTCTTATTTCCCCAACCAGCTTAACTGCCTCCCCTGTTCTCTTTTGTGAAACCAATCCATGCAATTTTGCATTGTAACTTCTAATAGTAGGAGTCACATTCTTCTGCAACATTATGTTCCATATCTTCTCCCCATCAACAAACTTACCATTCTAAAAGCGTATTAAACGTAAATTCATCCGGCTACATACCCTTCTTTTCCATCTCATCTAGCATTAAACTCGCCGAATCAAAAGAGCCCATCTCACAGAATGCCTTAATGACCGTGTTGTACGAGATTCTATCCGGTTTAATGGACAACTTCTCTGGCAACTCCTTAAAAAGCCTATTAACTTCATCGAACTTGTTTGAGTTTACACAGGCACCCATAAGGGCATTGAATGACAACACACCTTTAATCGGCATTTCATCGAACACCTTCTGGGCGTGATCGAACATGCCAGACTTACCACACAACCTAATCAGTCTCGCCGCAAACCCTTCTTTAGAGACGCATATGTACTTCCTTTGGTCTTCAATAACTTCTTCTACCAAATCGAAACGTCCTGCAGATGCGAGGTGGCGGACCGTGTGCTCATAGATGTCGACCTTACCGCGATATTTCTGGTGTTCACATAATTTTTTGAACCTTTGGACGAGGCTCTCCAGGTTACTTTCTCTAAATAGAGCTGAGACAGAGGAGGCAGATTGTGAGGCCGGGGAAAAGGCGTTGTGGAGAAGACGGCCGACGGAAGACATCTTGGAGGTATAGAAATGAGAATGGCAGAGCGCCAGTGGCGATGTAGGGGGCTTCTTATTTTTTTCCTCTTTTTTTTTTTTTTTTAACACCTTTGAAATGGATGTTACAGGCGCAGTGGTGGGCTCACATGGAATCCAGCACGTGGGCCTGTGTTCTCCTGTATCAAATTGCCTGTTTTCCAAAAAAAAAAATTAGTGTTAAAAATATTAAGATTGTCCAATTGCAATAATTAAATAAGGACAAAAAAATTACAACAAATAAAAAGGGACATAATGTGTGTCCTAACCAAATCTCATCTTAGCATATTTGAATGTCCTTATGTTATATATCAATAAATTTATACATATAATATCACAAATTTTAAAAAAATGAAAAAATTAATTCTTAAATAATATATTATCTATATTTTAATATTTTAAATCACATAGTTTATGTCATATTATTGGTTTTAAATTTTGATTCTAAATTTTGGTTTCATAAAATTTAACCCTTTTATTATCATTCTTTCTTCATTATTTGGGTTTGTTTATCTTACAAAATTAACGAAATTGAACTTTATTAGAAAATAAATTAATTGATTGGAACTTAGCTTTTGCTTCCATAATCAAAGGCCCTTCTGAAAATAAGGATAGGATATCAAACTTAAGCATACAAATTTGTCAATAAAAAAAAATTTCAGTAAGGATGCGTGGCAGTTTCAGCCTGCCAAGATTATGGAGCCACCAAGATTTGAATTAGAAAGCTACACTGCAGGCAATTTCAGCATATACTGATGGTATTTATTTGTCTCTCCGAGCTGCACAAGCTTTCTTGCCTCTTCAATCTTGGAGCTCTTAACCAGTTCATCCACCACTTGTTGCAACAACGACTCATCGAAAACGAATCTTCGACTGAAACTTCTACCAAAAATTTTTCGACAGAGCTGAAAGGCAAAATCCACATCACCCTTCCTACAAACCAATGGAACTAGCAGTTCAAAAGTCACTTTATCTGGCAAGCAACCACTTATCAACATTTGAATATACAATTGTTTAGCTGCCTTTAGGTTCCCCTCATTGACAAAACATCCAATCAAAGAATTGAAACTAACCAAATCAGGTTTAAGTCCTTCAAATTTCCCCATATTTTGAACCAGCTCAACCGCCTCCTTTGTTCTCTTCTCTGCGACCAATCCAAGCAACTTGGAATTGTAACTGCTAATATTTGGAACCACATTCCTATTCTCCACCATTCTATGCCATATCTTTTCCCCATCAAAAAACCTCCCATTCTTATAAAACGCAAAAAGAAGCGTGTTAAACGTAATTTCGTTTGGCTCCACACCCTCATTTTCCATCTCATCAAGCATCAAACAGGCTAAATCTAAAGAACCCATCTCACAAAATGCCCTGATAACAGCATTGTACGAGCTTACATCTGGCTTAATAGATAACTTTTCCGGTAACTTCTTGAAAAGCCTATTAACTTCACAAAACTTCTTGGAATTTACGTAGGCTCCCAGAAGGGCATTGAACGACACCAAACCCCTCTCCGGTATTTCATCAAACAACTTCTGGGCATGATCGAACATGCCCGATTTCCCATATAAAGTGATCAGCCTCCCTGCAAACCCTTCTTTGGAGATGGGTATGTACTTCTTTTGGTCTTCGAGGATTTCTTCTATCCAATTCAAGTGTCCTGCAGCTGCCAGGCGGCGGAACGTGTAATCATACGCGTGGGTGTTATGGCGGAAGGTTTTGCTTTCACTTAGTATCTTGAATTTTTCGACGAGGCTCCTGATATTGCGTTCCCTAAAGATGTCTTTCGCAGAGAATCGGATGCTAGGTCCTGATGTTGGGGAGAAGTTGCTGCGGAGAACTCGGAAGATAGACGACATTTTTCTGGGGGATGAAGAAAGAGAGATTACTGGCGTCGGCCGCCTGTGGTAGACGAGACTCGAGAGGGTTTGAAGGATCGGGCTTCTAATGATTTTTGTGGTAAGTTGGGCCTTAATAAGATGGACCAGTACCACCTTAGCTGTTTTATGGACTTATTGTTATGGTTGTTTATTTCCGAGACCTAAATATTTGTTTTTTTAGTTTCTTATTCCAAAATAAAAGCTATAAAGATTTTACAATAAAAGGCAGGTTTTTAATATTGATGGCTCTTTTTTTTGTTAGAGAGTATTTATTTTGTAATTTTATATAATTTAAATTGTAAAATAATTATTTATTTTCAAAAATTTCAAAGTCATATATATATATGATATTAGTATTTATTTATCTTTTTTTTTAAATTAAAATGAAAATTATTTTAAAACTAAATAGTTTTAATAAAATACCATAAATAAGACAAAAAAATGCTCTAACTCATGCTTTAAAATAAAGTATT